CTGTCAAAATTCAGAAATAAAGAGAAATTTCCACTTTTTGTTGTTTGTAACGTATTATACGAGACTGGATTTTTGATGGGTATCTCGAAAGATTCGTGTTTTCCTTGTAAATTTTGCCAGAATTCTTCTAGTGTTCTTTGTCTACTGGGTTTGTGTTCTTAGACCTAATTAGCTAAGTATTTAAGTGTTTTTGGAACTTTAGATCTTAGTGTTATACACTAAGAATCTCCAGTGATTGATGATATGTTGTCCTCTTGTCCCAGAGATCTAATTGATTCGAGCAATGTTGTCTTTTAGTTTCGAAATCAGAATTTGGTTTTTGTTGGTCTCGGATTTTAAAAAAAATTAGGACCACTCGATTTCTCCTGTAAGATCCAATATCACCTTTCGTTTTCAAGATTTGACTTGGCAAAAATAGAAACATGTTTTAATATATTCGACACTCCCATAGCTTTTTTTTGTAATTAAAGATTGTTATTTTTTTTCAGCTAATGATTTGCAATTTTTGGTATTGATGTGTTGTAGATTAATTGGTAGCAGCAGCAATCAAAACGGAAACAAGTTTTGTGTGTATTTCTTCAATGGATAAAGCTTCTTCACAAGAGTGTCCTTATCCAGGATGTTTCTTCTGTGTAATGAAAGAAGGAAACCCGAGCAAACGAAGATCTTGCATTCTCAAATTCTTTCGAGATCTTCCTTCTCAAGACGACGATGGTCAAGTTCTTCCCATTAGTGGCCTTTGGAACACAGCAATGGCGCACCCGAACGATCCTGAGTTCATTGAGCTCGGTATCTTCGAGTGTATGTCTGCTTTGATATGGAAAGGACTGAAAAACCGGCGTTGGCTATATCATGACCAGAACATATACATTCCTTATTACGCGGCTCACATCATCGGGTCTTACACTATGAACATGGAAGAATTTGCAGAGAGAGCTGTGGAAGCTGGAGTGATTCCTCCACTTGTTGAGCTTTTAAGAGGTAGGCTCACTTGGGTTGAGCAGAGAGTGGCGGTTCGAGCACTAGGGCATTTAGCTACTTATTCGAGCACTTTTTCCGCTGTTGCAAATCATGGAGAGATCCTTGAAATTGCGATCCAATTGGCAATGAGTTCGTTGGAAATAGTTTATTCTCATTTTTACCAGTATCCGGATCAGAGGATGAGTTACCATTGCGATTTGCTGACGCGTGGGATGGGAGGTGTTGAGATGGAGTCAAGAAAGGCCGAGGAATGGGCGAGCCAATTGCAGTGCTGGTCTCTTCAGCTCATAAACTGTTTCGCCTTTAAGCCCGAGTTTCTTCCCACTCTGTGTAAACCTGAGTTTCTGGTGAATCTTCCAGTTATGTGGGGAGGACTTGTTAATGAGAATTCGCCGGCTGGTATCGGTTTGCTTAGAACGATCTGTCAGCATAAACTCGGTCGCGGACCTGTCGCTGCATGTTCAGGAATGATTGAGGCATTGTGTAACATCGCTCGGTCTTCGGATGATTGGCAGTATATGGCGGTAGAATGTCTTCTTTGGCTGCTTCAAGACCCCAATACATCTCACAAGGTAATCGACAAAGCTGTACCAACGCTTGTGGATCTCGCTGAGATCACAAACTTAGGCGATCACAAGAAACTCGGAGATTCCATTATAAGTGTTCTTCAAGAATGCAGCTCCATGGGTAACCGCTCTAGGGAATTGATCGAAGAGACAGTAAATTCCAGACAAAGACTCAAATGGGAGAAGACTATGCCTAAAGAGGATCTTCACATCAAACAAGCAGCTGCTTTAGTGGTCAAACTCGAAGGAAACTCTCTCTTTTCATCAGGAGACATTGCGGGTGCAGCGGAAAAGTACTCAGAAGCTTTGTCTTTATGTCCAATGAGGTCAAAGAAGGAGAGAGTAGTGTTGTATAGCAATCGAGCTCAGTGTCATCTCTTGCTGCAACAGCCTTTGGTTGCTATAAGCGACGCTACACGTGCGCTTTGCTTGCACAATCCCGTAAACCGGCATGCAAAGAGTCTTTGGAGAAGAGCTCAGGCATATGATATGTTGGGTTTAGCTAAAGAGAGTTTGTTGGACGCGATTCTATTCATCAACGAATGTTCTCAGTCGAATGACCCGGATCTCTCCATGAGACAGAACAAGGTTCCTGATTACGCAGAGAGGCTGGTGAAGAAGCAGATGCGGGCGGCTTGGTTGTTTAAAGAAGCGGCATTGAAGCATGGAGGCGTGCATAGGAAAGGCGAAGAGAGGGAAGTGTATGGAAATGAAACCGATGATTCGGAATGGGAAACAGCGAGTGAGAGCGACATTGGAGATGACGGAAGAGATCATATGGGACTTGATGATGAGGAGGAAGAGCAAGAAGAAGGCCATGGAGAGAAGTGGAAAAACCGGGAGAAATCGAGTGATAAAAGCGAGAAAACTTCTGCGAAAGGTGAGATTTTTTCCGGTTTACTTGCGCGATTATGATCAACCCATTGTCTGATTTTAGTTTAGTTAATGGTTACTTATAGTCTAAATCTATGAATTTATTCAGGTATGAGGCATGGATATAGCATAAAGCTAGCAGAAGATGAACTTTGAAACACTGAAACAAGGTCCTAAAGAGAGGTTAGAGAAGAACAAAGAATGTCTTCTTATGCTTCATGGAAATCGTAAGTTCTGTTTTTCTTTCTTCTTTTAGTTTTGAGTGTTTTGTAGTAAATTTTATACATTTGAAGAAGTAAAGAAGAAAGGAACAATTGTTTTTTTGTTTTTCAGTGATTTTATTTATTTTTGTATTTGGGTGTATGTAACTAAGGATTATTCAAGAGGCAATATGAGTTCCAATTTGTATAAAGCTTGTTCTCTTCTTTCAAGAAATGATTTTGTTATTGAGAGATTTTTAGATTAAACCATTTAAATTGTATATTTGCACGTTTAAAAAATTGTACTGAGAAAGGGGGAATATTTTGTGGATCTATTGGATTATGATATTTTAGCACTCAATCCACCGTGGATTATCACAATGTATGTGACACAAGAGTGAATTTTGATTGGAGGAAAGAGGATATGTACCAATGCACTATTCACTTTTCACGTCATGTTTTGATATAATCCCTCTTCATGTCATTGTGCAATCTGCAGTGATGTTTTAAAATTTTACTAGTTAATTAAGACTCTTTCCAACACAGAGTTTCAAAATGATGTCCTTTGGATAACTCCAACGGATATATAACAAGGTGTATGATTAAAATATGCTAATTCCAAATATGTTTTGAAATGCTGCAATTAAGAAAAATGCTTTCCTTTTGATATTTGAAAGAAGAAGTTAATATTGAAAAAAAAAACACTTAAAGGTAAGTGAAAATATAATAATATTTTCTTTCAAATTATAGTTTTTTGAAAATTTTGTAAAAGTTTTTGAAATATATTTTTGTTTATATGTTAGTATTTGTATCTTAGTTTATACCCTTGAAAAAAAATATGTGTTTTCATAGAAAATTTATAAAGAAAATAAGATTTTTAAAGAGAAATGATTAAAATTAACCACATTTTCTTCTGTAGTCAAGTCTATCTTGTATGACTACAATCGATCATGGGATTCGTGGATCATATTTTTTTTTAGTAATTATATCTTTTGAGTCAAATTCCACACTCATTTTCCATACATGCAATCAAATCTTCTACTTTCTAGTGGAATATGTTTTTATTTAATTTTATACTGTTACTATATGGAAACACCTTTCGGCTAGCTATATTGGATGGTGTCCATGCGAAAATGTAATTTATCAATGATCAAGTCTTCAATATTTGCACTACAACCATATTTTCTTCTTGATATTTTGTTTTAATAAAATTCTCTCTTTATGGTGATCATACGTATCCAATCATCATCTCCCAAAACAATGGGCAAGAGTCAAAATATTAAATCGACCCTTGGTCCCTTAGTGATGCTCAAGAGTTTTAAATTTATTAAAAATACAACCTTCACTAACATAATTCGAATATTTTATTGATCACAATGTGGAAAATCTAGTGTAAAATTTCCTCGAACATTGGCCATATATAAATACTTGAGGATTTTGTCCATGCACATATTCATAACACACACCTTCATTCCTCCAAAATCCACTCTAATTATTATTATTCTCTCGCAAAAGAAAGCAAATTCTCTTGTTTTGATTCGAAAGTTTCAAGCAAATGGGTATTGTAGAAAGCCTTTGTTGTCTTAAATTTGAAGTGAAAATCTTGGAAGCGAGAAACGTAGAGCTCAAGTCATCACCATCCACTCTTTTCGTTAGATTCTATCTCTATGCAGGGAATAACACTAAGGTTGAACTAAACACTGCAGAGATTTGTTCGAGATCAGACAAGGAGGTCATGATCTGGAACCAATCATTCGGTTTGGAGTGCCAAGGGAACGAAACCGCGGTCGAGGAATTGAAGCAAGAAAACGTGGTTTTCGAGCTACGGAGGAGGAAAACGTCGTCGTTTTTGAGGAAATGGTCGAGATCGGAGTTGGTAGGTAGAGGAGAGCTTTCTTGGAAATCGGTTCTTGAGTCGAATGGTATGGAAATTGAGAGATTTGTAGTGATGGGTGAGACGAAAGATCGGATCTTGGAAGATTGTGATAAGCCTCTTTTGTTGAAGATAGCTTTAAAGGTGCAAGCTTCAAACTTGGTGAAGACTAAGAAGAAAGTGGAAGATCTTTGTGTGTGTAGAGATTGTAGGGAATGTAATTGCTTAGATTATGAAGCTTTTGTTGTAGCTTGTGCGTTAGATGGAATCTAGTTTGAATGATGAAATTAAAAACAAAGTTCTGATTCAAAGAAATATCCAAATAACAAAACAAGATAACAAAGGAGCAATGACCAAAAGAAAATGAAAGAGCAGTTATCAATCAGACAAGTTTGCAGGACCAACTGTTTTATGAATTGATAATGAAACGATGATGTTTGTTTCAAGCATGGTCATGTCCGAGAAGGGCGAGAAGCATATCTTTGTAGTCACCAGAAGTGTCATTAGCGATGGCTCGATCAAGAGGAACGCTGTTCCTGCGTAAGTATTCCTCTTTGATCCGCTCCAAGTCGACTTCTGCTCGAGTAGTGACCACTCTGGTGAGTGCCCACTCGTCTGTTCCCACCTTGTTGATTGCTCGGCGTAGAACCTTCTCAAAGTACTTCTCTGGATATGTCAAGCATTTGATCGCGGTTTTGAGCAACTGAACGTATTCATCTTCCGAATCTTCCTTTAAGAACTTGTTCAAAGAGCTTCCAAAGTTGTCCTTGAAGTGATTGAGCGTTGCCCCGATTTGAGCTTTGCTTCTTGTTGTCAAGATTCTGATGAGATCTTCGTCAGTGTAAGCCTTCTCAGTGACCTTCTTGTGAAGTTTCTTAGCTTCAGATCTAGCCAGCTTCACGTTAACCTCATCAGCATTACCATCGTACCTAAAGGTGCTCACAAGAGGAAGCAATAGCTGCATTTTCACAAGTGTTCAAATAAAAAAAAACAACAAATATATGATTAGAAAACGTTTCCTCGTTCTTGATTCTTGACATTTCGGTCATTTCTAATTGGTTCTAGAGATGGAAACTTTCACTACCTTTCGGATATTTCCAGATGTGTGGTACGCGACATCTTCCTCGAGAGAGGTCTTGTAGCGAGCTTGGTATGCTTGCTTAGCCTTGAAAAACTCAAGGGCAGATCTGGAACAAGCGATTTCAACGAGAACCCAGTTGTTAGCAGTGAACATTTTCGTTGATTCTTTCGCTAAATACGCATCTCTCTCCGCTGGCTCAAGAGTCCACAACATGACAGCTCTCTGTTTTCAAACAAACCATAGTGTGTACTCATACCAAAAGGAAGACAAAGAACATTTAAAGATTTTTGTTTTTTTCTTTGACAAACCTCAAAGTCACCAGATAGCTCTTTGTCTAGTTCCTTGAGAAGATCCTTATAGTAAATAGCAGCATAAACAGCGCGAATGAAGCTGCGTTGCGTTGCATTTCTGTGAGCCAAGATTGATATGATCATTCCTTCGTTGGTTCCCCATCCTGAGCCACACACAAAAAAACAAGTGAAAACACATCTCACCAAATCTCCAAGGACGTTAGATAAGAGACTGTCAATAAAAAAATTAGTCTCACTTAGTTATTTAGTCGAACACTTGGTGTGCAAGAATTTTGTGAGATATAAACACTAAACGAGACGTAACATAAACAAATGTGAGATTTTTTGGCGTTATCTGTGTATATAGTCAGAATTTGACGGCGTTATGTAACCGTGAACTGAAGATTTTCCGATCATCGGAACCCTCGACGGAAGACTTTGATGGGCTCTGTTTTGATTCTCACTCGAATTACAAAATGGCCGCCAAAAGCCAAGGAAGGTGACAAATTTCAAACCGAAACTTAACCAGATTTGTACCAAACTCAATTGAACCAAACCAAAATTCAGAACCAATGCCTTTTAATTTGGTTAATTGAATAATTAGGATATTATAATTTTTCAAGGAAAAAAATTATGGCAAATAGAGAAATATATCAGGTTTTGAAAAGAAAAACTACGAAAAAGGAAAAGAAAGAATATTATCTT